GGAGTTTATATGCAATATAAACTTGAAGCAGGAACAACCATGCCTCATGTGGAATCAAAGCATTACAAAATTATATCTTTAAAATCATTATCTTATTTAAAGGTTAACTGGATTTCAAAAGCATCACTAAACTTTAAAATGGTGTTTAAATTTGACAGTCTTCCACTGGCTCAGTTAAGATAGATAATCCTTCTATCATTCTATGTCATACCCATTAACAAGACAAGGTCTTCCCTACTGTCAATATTTTCCCAGAGGAAGAAGCATAACACAAAGAAATTCCTAACACCAAATACCAATAACATAAAGGAAAGAACTTGCATAAATTAAATTGGATTCAGGCCAATAACCAAATCGAATTCACGAGAAATCACGAAGAGAAAAACAGAGAAAGAGTTAGATTGACCCACTTCCGTCTTTGAGGTTTTCTTCCCTAAACTGCTTGGGAATGTGGTCAAGCGACCCAGCAAAGGGACTGAAGCTTCTCTGAACTCCATTCTTACTCAGACGGGGCTTGAAGAAGAAAACATTGGTGTTGGAGAGGAAGGAGGATTTGGGAAGCCCAGTAGTTGGAGCTACCGGTTTAGGGTTTGGTGCAGTCAGAGGAGAGAGCAAGGAGGCCGCCATGGACGGATGGAACTGCTAAACTGTGTGGAGATTTCTCCGGCGAACGATGACGATGAGGTTTTTCTTCGTTGAAGAAAATTGGGAATGGCTTGGAAATTTTGGGGATTTTGTGTAAACAGTAATCAACGGGCTACAGTCCGTCTAATTTTCTGCCGAGCCCAAAAGTGTAGATGGGCTCTGTAGCGTCTTTTGGGTTTAACCTAGCCCGTGAATGTTTGCTGATGGAGGCCCAAGTTCTATTTTGAGTTAATCACATGGGCTGACTTTATTTAACTGACCCCATGAACAGCCAAAAACCGAACCCATGAATAACATAGGTATCCAAATCTCTACATCCTTTCGTTTTTCCTTCATTTCTCTTCCCCCTAAAATTTTTTACCGGAGGTAGTTTTACTTTGGTTAAACCCCCAATCTGTTTCCTGAACCATTGTATGACCCCTCATTTGCTTTCTTAATTAAAAAATTTTATTAAATAAAAATACTCAATAAATAACTTCTATAGAAAAAAAAATTATTATTTATATAAATTATTAAATTTTTATTTAAAATTTTTATTTAAAAAATAAAAAACCAAATTAAAACTACTTACAGAGGGAATAAATAAATAATATCCATCTAAATTAAGTTAAAGTCCTTGTACTTTAGTACCAACAGCGTAGTTCGGCGAGAGACTGGTAGATTATAAAGACGGTAATATTCGCGGAAGAATCGTAGCCTTCTCCCCGAAGCAAATAACGAAACTGCAAATTCAAATCTTCGCACGCAATTTTCAATTTCCATTTGTCAATTTCAAACACTACCCAACAGGCAACAGACCCTTTTTGTTCTTTTCCCAGAATCGCCCACCATTCAGAACCCAAGTTACAGCCACCGGAGCTGTGAATTTACATGTTTGCAAGACGTCGGCTCCGTTGAGTTCATCGGAGGAAACCCAGAATTGTTCGGACGATTATAACTAGATGGAGCTGCAAAGGTTGCTGCTTTTAGGGTTTCTGTTCTTATATGTGGTGCAGGTGGCTGTTGCGAAATTTGTTGTGGAGAAGAACAGTTTGACGGTGACGTCACCGGAGAAGATCAAGGGGAACCACGATAGTGCCATTGGCAACTTCGGGATACCTCAGTATGGGGGTAGCATGGCTGGTGCCGTGGTGTATCCCAAAGACAACCGGAAAGGCTGCATGGAATTTGATAGATTTGGGATTTCGTTTCAGTCCAAGCCTGGATCTCTGCCTACTTTCGTTTTACTCGATCGTGGAGGTACCCTTTTAGTAGTTTTTTGTTTTATGTTTATTTATTTATTCTTTGTTTTTTAATTTCTGTTATGTATGATTAGATTTGAGCTAAAAGCAGCTTCTTTTTGGTTAATATAGGTGTCCTCCCATTAGTGTTTTTGGCCAATCTTAGGGTTTTTATCTGGAGGATACTTAAAAGTTAGAACTCAATGCTCTCGGAGATATACCTCTGGTAAATTTTTTAAGTACAGATCAATATTATGGGCATAAATTACTAAAGAAGCAAATTGGAGCCAAGTAATATAAAGAGGAGCATAATAGAATCACCAAACAAGAATCATCAAACAATCCATGAATATTGAAACTCAATTAAATGGCTGCATATTTTCAATGACGAATTGACTATCATGTATCTTTCCCCTGGTAAAAGAAGCTTGTTTCACTTGGCTTTAGACTTAGGCTTCTAGAGGAGATAATTGTTATGTAACTAAAGTATTTATGTGCCATTACCTTAGGTGTGAAATTTTACTTGGGTTTTCTTTTGTCAGTAATTTATTGAGAAGAGTCCATTTCCATAATTTTAATTAGATGTGCTTTTTGTATTGTTCTTGTTCATTGGTAAAGGATTTATTGCTATTCCATTTTCATTTTTGAACTTGCTGACTTTTCTTCATGAATAGGTTTTGATCATTGACAATTTTGCATAGTTTTCGAAGGCAAAATGGAAAATGATAGTTTAAAATGGAGCTCTTCCTTTAGCATTCATTTTTCGTCTTAATTTTTAACGTCTTCTTCCTTTTAATCATTTTTATTTACTATTCCTTTTTGTCCAGAAAAGGGAACTCTTTTTTTAATAAATAGATCAAGGTTGAAATAATTGTTATTTGTCCTTAAAAGTGTTCTTCTGTTTGCAATTTCTGCTTGTTCCCAATATAGTTTTATACAAGTGAAAATTTAGTGCCAATGTTGCTTTCCAGATTGCTTCTTTGCTTTGAAGGTCTGGAATGCACAGAAGGCTGGTGCTTCAGCAGTGCTTGTTGCTGATGACGTTGAGGAAGCTCTAATAACCATGGACACACCTGAGGAGGATAGTGCGGCTCCAAAGTACATTGAGAATATAACAATTCCATCTGCACTTATTGAAAAAAGTTTTGGTGAAACACTAAAGAAAGCAATTAACGGTGAAGATATGGTCAATATAAACCTTGATTGGAGAGAGGCTGTTCCTCACCCTGATGATCGTGTGGAATATGAGTTATGGACCAACAGCAATGATGAGTGTGGAGTTAAGTGTGACATGTTAATGGAATTTGTGAAAGATTTCAAGGGTCCTGCACAGATACTGGAGAAAGGTGGTTATACTCAGTTCACACCCCATTATATTACTTGGTATTGTCCTCAGGCTTTCACCCTGACCAGGCAATGTAAATCCCAATGTATTAACCATGGAAGATATTGTGCTCCTGATCCAGAGCAGGATTTCAGCTCTGGTTATAATGGGAAAGATGTAGTTATTGAAAACTTAAGGCAGCTATGTGTTTTCAGAGTAGCAAATGAGAGCAAAAAACCTTGGGTATGGTGGGACTATGTGACAGATTTTCAAATAAGATGTCCTATGAAGGAGAAAAAATATAACAAGGAATGTGCTGATGCTGTTATCAGATCTCTTGGTAAGTTTTTAATAGCAAGTCTTCTGGTTCACCAATAATTGCATTTGGTACTTCCTGAAAAGTGGAATTTTCACCAACATTGTGATGATGAATGCTCTTTGATGTTCTTGTTGCATGTGCTCAGGGTTGGATGGTCAAAAGATTGAGAATTGTATGGGCGACCCTAATGCTGATGTTGATAATCCTGTTCTCAAAGAAGAACAAGATGCCCAAGTAATTCTCTCTTGTTTATATGTTCTAGTTGACACCTTAATTCTAGTCCTTGATCACTTGCTTCTAGTCTTTGATCACATAAAACTGTCTGAAAACATTTTCTTTAGATTGGGAAAGGATCGAGGGGTGATGTAACCATATTGCCTACACTTGTTGTTAATAACCGACAATATCGAGGTTAGTCTTCTGCTCATGCTTGTATTTCTCATATAATCTCTTGGATGCATTTTCCTTTCTGAAATATGTGCATACAGGGAAGTTGGCCAAAGGGGCTGTTCTGAAGGCCATCTGTTCTGGTTTTGAGGAGACTACTGAACCAGCTGTCTGTTTAAGTGGTGGTAGGTTTCTCTTGTTAAACTTCGTATTGTTGAATTGTGTGAAGGACCACCATGTGAGTATTTACCTGATGAGGGCAAGGTAGAAAATTTGTGTCATTGAAATGGCCCACCATCCACAATGCTGAAGGTTGGGCCTACTAGTTCAGCATTTTTAGAATACTGTTTTGTCCAGCTGGTTCTTTGTTGTGATTAATCATTTTACAGTTGTTTAATTGTGATATCATATTGTAACTGGAGAGTAATTCTTGGCAGATGTGGAAACAAACGAGTGCTTGGATAATAATGGTGGTTGTTGGCAAGATAAAGTAGCCAACATAACAGCCTGCAAGGTATGGATCAGAATCTCCGAAATTGATTGACTTGTCTTCTTTATAATTATAATACTGATGACTATTTTTGTTTTTCTATGCAGGATACCTTTCGAGGGAGGGTCTGTGAATGCCCATTGGTTGATGGTGTACAATTTAAAGGAGATGGTTACAGCCATTGTGAAGGTCAGATGTTTTTCCTTACTATATTTTAGCAGATTTATCTTTGATCATAGAGGAAGGTTAAAATGAATGATGATTGGTGAATGGAGATCAGATTTTCATTGATTGAAAATCTTGATCTTAAGTTGTTTGTAATTGTTATTGCTCTATGATTGTGGCCTCCTTTTTGGTTTAATAAGCATGTAAATTTAGTCCTGCACCAAATGTGGTAAGGCTAAATAAGAAAGA